TCTGCACATTTTCCCCTTGTCTTTTCCTTCTGCAATGCCCGCATGGTAAATATTTGTTCCATTAATAACATTTCATAAATCCTGTATTCTTTCTTTATTCTTTTGCTTTTTTGTATTGCCTGTGTTTCAAAAAAACCTGTCTTCAAGTTCAGAAATTCTTCTGTTTGGTCTAGTCTGTTGTTGAAGTTCTCAATTATATTTTTTATTTCATTCATTGAATTTTTCAGCCCTAGGATTTCTGTTAGGTTCTTTTTATGATATATGTATCTTTGTTGAATTTTTCATTCAAATCATGAATTGTTTTACTGATTTTGTTAAATTGTCTATCTTTATTATCTTTTATATCATTGAGTTTTCTTAAGATTATTGTTTTGAATTCCTTTTCTAGTACTTTGTACATTTTCTGTGGTCTGTTACTGAAGAATTATTGTGTGCCTTTGGAGGTGTTATGTTTCCTTGCTTTTACATGTTTGGTGTGTCCCTACATTGATTCCTTCAGATCTTGTGGAACAGTAACATCTTCTAATTTTATGGCATAGGTTTCGTGGACAAAGACTTATTCTTATGGATGGGTCTTGGGATGTTGGTTTGGTGAGGGCATTGGCTTTGGATCTAGGTGGCTGCCGTAGTGTAGTCTTGGCGAAGTTTCTTCAGCTGTAATCCACACTAGTGATACTTGCAAGTGTCTCAGTGGCCTAGGCTGAGTGTTGTTGTTGTTGTTGGTAGTGGTAGTGGTGGCGGTGATGGTGCAGCTTTGTTGGGGATGGACTTGGTAGGCTCTTTCTCAGTTTGGGAGTGCATGCATGTACACATTTAGTCAGGTTACTTGGGATCTCACTCAAGTTGGGGGATCACAGGGCTGTTCTTCAAGCTCGGGAGGCAGATGCATGGCTGCTTTGGTGGTCTGGTGGTGTGTCTTCTGGGGGTGGCCCATAGGACTGTCTGAGGCTTTGATTGTAAGTGTGGGACCTTAAGCAGGCCAGGAGCATGTCCATGGAGGAGCAGGCTCTACTGTTTTTCAGACCCTGAGTGTAGGTATGTAGCTGCTCTACTGGCCTGATAATGTGTCAGTTGCTTGCTGACTCAGGGACCTCTCCTGCTCAAGGAAAAGTGTGTGGAAGTTTGGCTGGCTTAAGGGAATGTCCTCCCTGGGTGAAACTGCTAGACTGTTCCTCCAGCTGTGAATGTGGCTGGTGGGGGTTGGTTTCCCTGCTGTTCAGGATCAGAGTCACAGCAAGTGTTAGGCCTGGGTTCTGCGCTGCTGGGGTTGTGGTGTTCAGCCACTCATTTGGGTTTTGCAGAATGAAGATGAAGCCCCTGTGCTGCAGAGGTGCAGTGGCTATTGGGACCCAGAGCAGGGCACACTCCAGGGTTGGTGCTGATCTTAAGATGGCACCAGGCTGCAGCACCCTGGCCCACATGGGGTGGGGAATGCATACCTTGCACTCCTAATCCAGACCATGGAGCTGCAAAAATTCCCAGCAGCTCTCCAAACTGAGCTCAGGGCTTGCAAAGACTATGGGACTCTCCAGTAATAAGAACTAGTTCTTATTTAGGTGGCCATGGGAACTGATGGGGTTCTTTTGCTTATCTTCTACAAGGAAAAGGCCCTTATCTCTGAGATAATCCTATCTAAGCAAGTGAGACGGGGCTGCAGAGGCTGGTGCCTCCAAGCTACCCTCCTGGGTTTGCCATCACCACATTCCCCTGGTGCACTTCAGTACTCTCCTTTTGACATTCCTGTTGAATCTTAGTTTATTCATTCATTTGGTCCTTTCTTGTGGAAGAAACAAAGACCAACCATCTCTAGTCAGTATCTTGCTGACATTACTCATTTGCAAAACTCTTAATGTGAGTCACCATTAAAAAAATTGAAAGACTCTGGTAGTGGTTGAGAGTTTGGGTGCTATAGTCAAATTCCTTGGGGTTAAATCTTGCCCCAAACACTTGCTTGATGTGAGACTTCAGCAATTTATCTCACTTCTCTGTACCTCAGCTTCTTCATATGTAAAATTGGTTGCTAACAGTACCCATGTAAGGGGTTGTTACAAAGATTAAATAATTTAATGTACTTAATACTCATAGAATAGTGCTGGGCATATACTAAGCTGAATTGATATTTGTGATTATTATTGCTGTTGTTACTATCAGCAGAAGCACCTTCATATAATGTATGTAAAGTGCTTCACACAGTGCTTGAAACAACCAAAGTTTAGTAGTTGTCTGTCATTGTGGAAGAAACTTCTGGTGCTTACTATATCCCATTCAGCTCTGCTTTCTGCTACACAGGATGGTAACACTTCCCCATCCCATTGCAGATAAGCCTGGGTGGGCCCTACAACCAGGGCTGGTCAGCAGATGACAGGGAGAAGTGATACACTTCCAGGTGTGTGCCACTGATAGCCCATTTGAGACTCTCAGGAGCCCTCCTGAGGTAAGCCCTGAAGACTTGGGTTGGGACAGCAGTGAAACAATGTGGTGGACTCGCCACAGCCTGAATCCTTGATTGACTACTGGAATGGAGCCTCCTGGCCACCCTCAGCTCCACCACCAGCCTCTGTTGGACAGTGGCAGGTAACGTTTGTCTGTTGGCAGTAGCTTTATTGAGGTATGATTCCCACACCATGTAATTCACCTGTTTAAAGTATACAATGCAGTGATTTTTAGTACATTCAGGGTTGTACCAGATTTTTCAAGGCCTCAACTACCAGGCTCAGGAGTTTAAATATTATACTATGGGAACTGGAAAGTTAGTAGGAGGTTGTCTTTTAACTGCAAAATGTGTTCATTAAGGAAATAATCTGACAAAAAATACTCCCCGTTTCCTTTGACCTCTTCCTAACTTTTTCTGAATGTTTTATGGTGTGTTTTCCTGCTTAAAATTGTGTCATATTTATGGGACTTTGTTTTCTGCTCTCACTTTAGCATTATTTCATATAGATGTTTCCTCTGTGTCTAAATCACATTATTTTTAATGACTATACCTTGTCTCTTGCTATTGTTGGATATTTACAGTTTTACTTTATGTGCATAAAACTGTTTTCCATGCACACATGTGTGCACATGTGTGTGTATGCATGCAGGCTTGAGACTAAGGTGAGGCAAGTCTCTAGGATATAATACATAAGTAGGTACACACCTTCTGGCATGAAATTTTGCACCTAAATGCTTCATTTGCCTCACCCTAGTCCCATACCTATACCTATCGTGTGTATGTATGTTCTTCTTTTAAATTATTTCCATAGGAAATAATTCCTATGGAGGTGGGAGATTACTGGTCCAGAGCATGTTAAGTATTGCTCAACACTACACTAGAGTGGATCTCAGGAGGACTTCATTGAAGAGTTTTTAAAAAAAAAATTTTGGTATATGCACAAAAGCATTTTACAAAGATTACAGAGGCAAGGGGTTGTTAGGAGGCTTTCACAACAGCATGTCCTAACTAGGGTGCCATTATTACTAAAGAAATTCCACTGACATGATTTCTTATTAGCATAGCCAAGCCAAAACACTCGTTTTAGACAATCACACCTTCATGCAATCAAATTTTATTATTACATTACTGAAATAACAACAAAGTCTCTGATACTGAGTTCATGTTCCTAACAGATGACTTACCTGTATATACCAACCTGGTCTGATCAGTAAAGACCCATCATTTTCACAAGAGATTAGCCCTTTGATTTTGGACCTAGGAGCTTCAGTTGGCAGAGCGACCTTCAAGTCAGGAGGGGTTTCATGGAGGAAGAGTGGTGGGCCACTGCTGGTTTTCACAAACCAAGTTCCCAGTTTTAGGCTCAAGTTCGAATTCTATCATTTGGGGGCAAGTAGCATCACAATTTGCCCACTATCATCAATGTTTTCAAAAGTCAAATGGAAAAATATCTGGGCTAGTCTACTCTGTATAAATTTTTCCAGGAGGGGGCTCTTGTTACGAAGGCGCTAAGTGGAAAATCACCAGCATTGAGTTTAGAGTTTTGGTTCCTGAGTCATGACCAGGCAGATGCAGTATCCAGTCTTGCATAATGAGGGGAAAGGTGGAGGGCGATGGGGCAGAAAGGGCATGTTGGGGTGAGACAGAGCATCATGGAGAGAGTATGTCGGAAAGAAACCAAAATTGTCTTCAGGGTTCTATGCCGCAGTGTTTCTGAGGTTATCTTGGAAAGACAATGTGCTTTTCTGCCTGCCAATCAGGGCTGAGTAATTTATTACTTAGACCCTTCTAATCTGAAATACTGGAAGATACGGTATTACAGTTAACTTTTTCTTCTCTGTGATTCTGCCTAACCACTTTTCTTCTTCTAGAGAGTTTTGAAACCAAGTTATCGTACTGGCCTTGCTACATGGACAGGGTCTGACTCTGAATGGGGCTCTTACTTTCCAGAGTCTTCCGTGCGCTTTACATCAAGTTCCTCGGGGCTTTCTCACCTGGAGTGATGCTAGCTCTTGTCGGAAAATCTGCTGAACCACACACTCAGTGTGCAGACACAGCTAACACTTAGGGTGGGTGCAAAGTCAGCTCCAGGAAGCTACACACAGGTTGGGCAAACCCACGTTTCGTGGGGGCGTTTTGCACAAAGATCGCAAGCTATTTCCTTGACATGCACCTTCGTCTAAGAATAAAGTCGGGTCAACATGTGCAGTCAGTATAATTCGTACGGATCAAGGCCATGTTCCAGATTCCCAAAGAGCTTCAAACCGGGTTTGGACAACAGGCAAGCGGATTCTTCCAGGCTCTTGAAATGAATGGACCCCAAACTTCTGTCCAGGCTATTTATAGGGTGCCCGAAACTTTCGTTGGAGCATCTGCCTTCCTACGCGCCCCACGGCTGGCAAATCGGGCTCCTCGGCCACCTGTAGCGTGGATGCGCCGCGGTGACGCAAGGAATCGGTCGCTGTAGGACCCCGGGGAAGGAGCGACGACGTCAACCCCCGGCGGCCCCCCCGACCAATCAGAAGGCGCCCTTGCGCCGCCGCACGCCAATCGCAAGCGCCCTTCCGGCGGGCCGCACGGGCTATTTAACGGTCGGCGCGTCGGCCACGGCGACGCGGCTCCGGGAGGGGTCTGGGAGCGACGGTCATGGCCGGCCACCTGGTACTCAGCAGCGGCGCCAAGATGCCCATCCTGGGCCTGGGCACCTGGAAGGTGGGTGCGGGGGGCCGCGCGGTCTGCAGGAAGCTGCCCCGGCTCCAGCGGGCTCGGTCGGGGCAGGCGCCGCGCCGCCGGCCGGGCGTCCAGCGTGGGGGCGGGGCGCG